TGTTACAAGACATTGCTGGATGGCTTAGACTGAACTGACTGAAATTGAATCCGATGAAGACGGAGGTCCTGTGCCTGAGTCAGGGCGGACTGAGACTAGATATCCCACTCCCGACCTTCGATGGGGTTCCATTGGTGCCAGCCCCGGAGGTTAGGAGCTTGGGAGTGCTCTTGGATGCCTCCTTAATGGTGGAGGTCCAGGTAGCAGCCACTGCCAAGTCAGCCTTTTACCATTTTCGGCTGATCAGGCAGTTGGTTCCCTTCCTTGAATACAACAACTTGACAACAGTGATCCACATAATGGTCACCTGAAGATTGGACTACTGTAATGCTCTCTACATGGGTCTGCCCTTATCGCAAATCCGGAAGTACAGCTTGTTTAAAATGCTGCAGCCAGGCTTTTAATGGGTCTCCCAATGCGGGAGCACATTCAGCCTATGCTGAAGGCATTGGATTGACTACTGATAGCATACCGCATTCGCTTCAGGGTGCTGATTCTTAGCTTTAAAGCCCTTTATGGTCAGGGACCTACATACCTGAGGGATCGCCATTCCCCACATGTTCCCCAGAGAGCACTGCAATCAGGGTCCCAAGATCGATTGGCCCTCCCCGGACCCAAGGATGCCAGGCTGGCTATAACCAGGGCCAGGGCTTTCTCGGTGGCAGCTCCTCTCTGGTGGAATGAGCTCCAGGAGAGATCAGGGCTCCGCGGGACCTCATGCAGTTCCACAGGGCCTGCAAGACAGAGCTCTTTCACCAGACCTTCAATTAGGAGCCGCCTCCGATAGAGAACCCTGTTCCCTGAAGCCACCAGAATGGCCTGTGCTGGCTGCACAAAGGTTAGATCTATGGGCTTACCACTAGGATGGAATACTGAAGGTCGACCGCCATAATTTAATAACCTATTAGTGTCATTAATGTTAGCACCTTTTAATGTTGGACTGTTTTATATGGTTTTAGGACTATTTATATTGCGTACTCGTGGTTTTTTAAAATTCTTTTATGTAAGCCACCCTGAGCCGGCCTCGGCTGGGAGGGTGAGGTATTATTATTATTATTATTATTATTATTATTATTATTATTAATAATAATAATAATAATAATATAAAAATAAATAAATTATAATTTCCTCTAAATTGAAATTTGCCCAGCATAGGAAGGACTGAGAATCTTTCTCCCTGATGAGCTAATTTTTAATTTTCAGGAAGTTTGTACATTAATGAGCACTGGAAATGCTGCTCTCCCCATCTACAGCCCGAAATGGTACAGATCATCCAGCCACCTCAGAATTCCTTTGCATCATTCTGTATAGATGGTGTGCAGACCATCTAAAGAAACAATATTTTGATATTAATCCTCATGAATGGCTAAGAATCTGTTCTCAGATTCTTTCAACTAAAGGCCAATTCAAAAATTATTTATTTATTTAATTATTTTTTTATTTATTATTTATTGCTTTGAGTTTTACCCCGCCCTCCCCACCGAGGCGGGCTCAGGGCGGCTCCCATAAAACTAATAAAACAATATACATCTTATAAAATTACAGATACATCAATTAAAAGCATTAATATCGATGGCGATACAAACAGTAACGTGCAATTTGAGACATGCACTAGGTCACTTCTGGGTCTGAGTCCACACAGGGCGCAGCTGGTAAGGTGCCGCTCCTATCGGAATGCCTGCGTAAAAAAGCTCCATTTTCACAGCCCTGCGGAACTGTGGAAGGTCCCGCAGGGCCCTGATCTCACTAGGGAGCTGATTCCAATAGGACGGAGCTGCCAGAGAGAATGCCCTGGTCCTTGTCGATGTCAACCTTGCGGCCTTTGGACCAGGGAGGGCCAGGCGGTTTTGAGATCCTGATCGCAGTGCTCTCTGGGGAACATGCGGGGAAAGGCGGTCCCTCAGGTAGGCCGGTCCCTGACCATAAAGGGTTTTAAAGGTCAAAACCAGCACCTTGAAGCGAATCCTGTATGCTATTGGCAGCCAGTGCAATGTCTTTAGCACAGGCTGAATGTGCTCCCACCTGGGAAGACCCATCAACAGCCTGGCTGCTGCATTTTGCACCAGCTGCAGCTTCCGGAGTTGCATCAAGGGCAGCCCCATGTAGAGAGCATTGCAGTAGTCCAACCTTGAGGTGACCATTGCATGGATCACTGCAGCCAGATCATTGCGTTTGAGGAAGGGAACCAACTGCCTAATCAGCTGAAGGTGGTAGAAGGCTGCCTTGGCAGCGGCTGCTACCTGGGCCTCCATTGTTAAGGAAGCATCCAGGAGCACTCCCAAGCTCCTGACCCTCGATGCTGTCACCTGAATTTCCATGTCAGTGAGGCGGTGAGCAAGTAGCTGGTGGTCGACGGTGTCAAAGGCCACCGACAGGTTTAACAGCAGCAGCACTGCCATCCTGCCCCGATCCAGGTGCCTCTGGAGGTCATCGGTAAGGGCAACCAGTGCTGTCACTGTGCCATGGCCTGGGCGGAAGCCGGACCAGAAAGGATCTAGCATGGAAGTGTCATCCATAAAGTTCTGCAACTGTATCACCAACGCCCTCTCAATTAATTTTCCCAAATAAGGCAAAATGGAAACCGGCCGATAATTAGCCAATTTGGCCGGATCGGGAGATGGTTTTTTAAGGAGAGGACGGACCATCGCTTCCTTGAGAGCCCCCGGGAACAGCCCCTCAGAGAGCACCTCAAAACCCCTCACAACCAGCTTTAATTAGCCAGGAGGGGCACGGGTCAAGGCTGCATATGATTGGGCATACAGTTGAGATCAATCTGTCAATTTCCTCTAGGCTGAGTGGACTGAAATAATCCAGAATGGGACCAGAAGACGTGCTTGGAGCCTCGAGTTCACTCACTGTCTCAATTGTTGTGGGGAGGTCGCGGTGGAGCGACAAGACTTTATCTGCAAACTAGCTCGGAAGAGGCCCTGCGGCAGAACCATTAAGGACCAAATCATTCTATACAATTGTGCCGGGCGTGAGCTTGCAGACACAATTGTGGCTGCGTAGAACTTCCTCTTCGCAGCTTTGACTAGGAAGAGCCTCACAGTCAATATCCAATTCCCTGGTGTTTTGTCTGCCCTGCGGCAGAACCATTAAGGACCAAATCATTCTATACAATTGTGCCGGGCGTGAGCTTGCAGACACAATTGTGGCTGCGTAGAACTTCCTCTTCGCAGCTTTGACTGCCACCTCATAGGATCTCATAAATGTCCTATAAGATGCTCTTGTTGCTTCGTCACGAGCATGCCGCCACTGTCTCTCTAGCCGTCTAAGCCTTCACGTCATCAGCCTCAGCTCCTGGGTATACCAAGAAGCCAGCCTAGCACGTGGGCACAGAGGGCATCTGGGAGCGATCTCATTGATGGCTGTCGAGAGTCGGCCTTGCCAGTCCTTGACTAGCTCATCTAATGAGCTGCCAGAGGGCACAGGATCCCGAAGAGCCATCTGAAGCCACACTGGGTCCATTTGGCTCCATGGGCGAGCTAAAATACGCTCGCCACCCAAACAGGGTTGGGGTGACACATTCACTCAGGCCTTCAGGGCATGGTGGTCCAACCATGGAACTGCTGTAGCAGTGATCCAGTTATGGCCTCAATTGTTTAGGAAACTTCTATGCCAGTTCCAGCAGCCACCAGGAATGTACAATTCTGGTGTGGCTATATCTAGGTACATCTTGGCTAATCTATGTGGTAAGTAAGGGGAGCGGTGGCACAGGGGATTTATCCTCTGGTTAATACATCTGAGCTGAACAGAGCTGCTGTCAATTCTAGCCCCGTGCTGGTGTGAGCTACCAGCCTTCTCCCCAGCTTGCCGTCCACCCAGTGGTTCGAAAGCTTCGGCAAGTAGATAAAATGGGTACCACTCCTTAGAGAGGGTGGGCACACTAAACCCCCCGGTGGGGGAGGTGTTTGCCGGTGAACAGAATGTCCAGCGCGTAAGACCGAAAAGGCTAGAAAGAACTCTTCGCCATCAAGGAAGCCTGTAATGGGCCCTCCGGCCAGGCGGTGGCAGTGCTGCGCTGCAACTTGAAGCAGTCCGGAGAAAGCTGACGACATCAAGCCACGCCGAGGGGAAAATGCTGCTGGAACACGTCTGACCTTACAGCTGAACAAACTCCCCGTCGGCTGCAAACGTGTGTGATTTAAAGATTATATGTTGTCCTCCCTTACCCCTTGAATCATTGTTAGTCATATTATTATTATTATTATTATTATTATTATTACTTCATCAGGCTGCTTTTCTTTAGTGCTGGAACCCAACCCAGCTAATAATAATAATAATAATAATGAGTGTTATGTCCCCAGAAGCATTTTTATGTTGCTTCGGTGCAGTTGCTCTAATGTTTGATTTAATCCCAATGGCCAATTCAACTGAAGCAGGAGATGACAGTGTCTACAAGATTATGCATTTTCCAACACAGTGGGTCTTGGTGACTGATGGGGTATTGATATATACTTTGCTAAACTTTGATAAATACAAGGTATATATCCAATTTACAAGTTAAAGATAGTAAGAAAGACAGAGTTACTGCCAATAAGTGGCAGGCTAGGCACATACTGGACTAATGACAAGATATGATAAAGTGTACATGTGCACAAAAGGTCTTAAAGGTGCCACGGGACTAAAACTTTGTTCTATTGCTCCAGGCTAATGTAGCTACCCACCCGATTCTACTAAATACATGTAAAGGCACTACTTCAGTTTACTTTAAGAGTACTAAAATTCAGCATTACAGAACAGCCACATTAAAAAATACTTAAGCATTTGTATAGCACTTGCATTCTTCAAAGAGCTTCACACATATTATCCCCGTAATCCTTACAACAGCTCTGTAAGGTAGGCCAGTATTATTATCAGTGTACTGCAGATGGGGGCTGACACAGTGAGTCTATGGCTGAGATGAGGTTTAAAATCATTACCTCCCAAGAGTACAGTCCAGTCTCTTAGCCACTATGCTATATGCAAGAAATAAAGGAGCAGGGGTTTTTAAAACTTACTTCTTTGACAAGTAGTGCCTCTGTAGCCAGGTGCACATTCACAGATCCCTTCATCTGGAGAGCATGATGCACCATTTTTACAGAAACAGGACAATGAACAGTTTGGACCCCAACGTCCCTCAGTACATACACTGTCACAATGCATACCTGCAAGCAATTAACACATAGAACTGTCATTGAAACCCCAGATGATGTACACTAATCACAAATGACATTAACTGGCAAATTTAACACTGCCACTACAATATGAAGGAGGAAAGCACAATATAACAGCATTATGTATTACACTTAAATAATATTACAAACATCACATATTATCCAAGTGTTCTGGCCAGAATGATTAAGGGTCAACGTAGATTTGACAGCTGAAGACCCATTGTAATAGCTGGGGATGGGGACAAGAGACACTGTTTGGAGTAAAAGGGGTGTGAAAGGGGAGGGAGGTTTAATGCCCTTCCACTGGCCAGAGCTCACCTACAGTCTTCACCCACACATCAGCCATTCAGCTAAAGTACACCCATTTGTTTGTTTAATTCTTATATGCTTGTGTGTAGTACAACAAAAGGGGTACACACGGGTACGTAGGAGCCAGATGATTTCTGTACCCATTGGGGTACCAGGTCCAGATTGAAAAATACCTGGAGATTTTGGGGGTGGAGCCTGGGGAGGGCAGGGAGGGACTTCAATAGGGTGTACTGCCATTTTCTCCAGGTGATCGGATCCCTGTTGTAATAGTAGGAGCTCTCCAGCCACCACCTGGAGGTTGGCAACCCTACATAACCACCATTTACCTCTCAGTAGTTTCTTCCACAAAGTGCTTTTCTCCAAGCCAAATCTCTTTTAGTTTCATAGCTTAGCTAAAAGGGTCAGACCATGCCTTCTTCCACTAGCTATGGAGCCTCTATGTTCAAGGGCAATATATCTCTGCATATCAGAGGCAGAGGACAAACGACAAACTTTCACCTCCACATCTTGCTAATGAGCTCCCAGAGGCATGTGGCTGGCTGCTGCAGGGAACAGAATGCCAGACTAGATGGCCCTTTGTTCTTGATCCAGCAAGACAGTTTCTGTCTTCTCATACTTCAGTTTCTCTATTCTAATAATTGCAGAAAAACTAAAGTTCAGTTTGGGTTTACTTCTTCCTTTGAAGAGGGAATGTTTGCAAGGCAATGAGTAGTGAAGAAGCCTGATTTCTTTTATAATTATTAATAAGCTGATTACTGCTAAGTTTCATACCATGGGGGGGGGAGGGGGGAGAACACAAGAAATGAACCACAAGAGCTTTCCAAAATGCTTAGCTGTGCAAAATACATCAGGCATTCAACGGTTATTGTAAAATGATGTATATTGTGGATAGAACTTCAGTATATAAGCATACACAAAATGGCAACTGTCAGTAGAACCAAAGGCATTAAAACTAACTTTCTTGGTATTTTTTTCAGAGTCTTTTTGCACTTCTATAAAGTTTCCCTTCATGTCAAATGCCAGCAGGATTCCACTGTAGCTCTCAGACCTCATTGTGTCTACAGTGCTTTCTTTTATCAATCGACTATTATTGGAGTGCAGCTACTGAATGAATCATTTGGCCAAAGAAAAAGGGGACTTTCAGAAGAAGAATGACTGGCTTTGTATGTATTTTGTGCAAAATATGCTTCAGGTCCACTTTATATTGGACTGTTTAAAATGAGCAAAAAAGACTTGATTTTCCCCCCCGCTAGAAAAGCTTTCTAAAACATTCCAAAGTGGATATTTTCTAGAATATGTGGAAGAATTAAGAGAGACTGTCCATACTGACAATTAATTCCTCTATATATCTTTCCAGTAAGCAGTCCTACCCACCCATTCCTGGTTAGTGCATAATACCCTGTATGGGAAAGATCTTCTCCTGACTGGAAGACAGGTCAATGAGTGCAATCCTATACTTGTTTACTTTTATGTAAGTTCCACTGAGTTCACTGGCAGCTACTTCCATGTAAGTGCGACCTGACCATGAAAACCTTAACTCTTATGCCTTTTAAAATCTTGATTTATGGCTGCCAGACAAAGGACCAGACAGAGCCAACTATGATAGAAAATACACAGAAATGTAACAACACAACAACTAATTTTACACAGGATACTGAACAAATACAAAAAGGACTACTTTCCCTTGGTGAATGCAGACTTGAATGCCAAGACACAAAAGACTCCTTATACCATCATGCTGTTCCTGGCTGATTTTTGTCTGCCTAGCTAACCGAGTTTTCTGAATCAAGACACAAAGTAACTTATTTCTCAACAGGCTGGAACAATATTTTTCAACTTGAAATCTAAACGGAGGCACCTAGATTTGCATCTGAATAAGGCTCCTCAGTGAGAGACACTGAGCCCTCTTATTAGATAGTTTCAGAGGGTAGTCGTGTTGGTCTGCAGTCAAACAGTTAGATCTGAGTGTGGTAGGACCCTAGAGACCAATAAGAGTTTTAGGGTATAAACTTCTGATAGTCAAAAATTCCTTCCTCAGACATGAGTAGAAATGGAGATCTCCAAGTCCTTTTATCCTAGTCAGAAGGTGGGAGGGGTGTTGTAAACAATGCTTGTAAACGATGCAGAGGTACATTACATATATAAAGGGACTCAGAGATTTCTGTTTCTACTCATGTCTGAGGAAGGGAGCTTTGACTCTCAAAAGCTTATACCCAGACACTCTTGTTGATCTCTAAGGTCCTACTGGATTCAAATCTAACTCTTATAAGATGTCACCGAAAGCTGTGTGAGGATCAAACCTTTAAAAATGTAGCCAGGCTGCTCTTGAAATGCACATTTCTTGGTAGAAAGTCAAATATACATGTGTGAAGGCAAAGAGTTTTTGTTTTTTGAGATGCTGCTGCTGAAAGAGCAGCAAATCTGGTTTCATTAGGATCGACAAAAAGGCAAAGTGAGAGTAATGAGAGAATTTTTAACATTTATTTCAGTTTATTTCTCCCATGGACATGTGTCTGAAGGCATACTTTTAAAAATCAAATTTATTAGGTTAAAAATCCCAGTATGATGTATTATAAAGGTATATATTTTAATGGATGTGTATTTTCATATGTTAATAAAATTTCATTTTGTACATGCTTACAGTACATAACTAGTTGTATTCTATGTATATAGGCAACAGAGAAAGAAAGTGTGTTTGTGTGCAAATGTACAGCATAAACCTTTTCCCAGTGAGTTCATCTTCTTTCATGCTAAAAGAAATGTAATTGATTATATTAATCTCTGTGTATGTTAAAGCTGCAATTCCAAACACAGTTAGTAGTGAGTAAGCCCTACTTAACTCAATGGGACTAAGTATCCATGCTTAGGTATACATGGTAAACAGACTTACATGTGGCTCAAAGGAAGGGAAATTTCAAAAAGAGTGTTTAATCGGAATAGTTTTCTGCATACCCAGATTTTTAATACCAAATATCAGCAATGAGCTCTCTCTGAGTTTGTTAGTGAATGTTTTAAGCCTACAGACAACAATCCTGTGCTGGTAATTTGCATGAAAGACTTTTAGCTAAATCAGTATGAATAATGCACCTACATGTAAACTTTGAACATTTAAAGTGTGTCTTGTGAAACAAAGGAATTATTAATAAGTGTGCATGTTAATTTCATTCTAGATAAGCAGATTGGAAGGAAATGTTTTTGCCAGGAGAATGGACAAAGAAGTCTTTGATGGCCTCCACAAGTTGCTAGGCAATAGCTAAATGGTCATGATAAACTTTAGCTAAGCAGCTGAATCCTCATGCATTTAATGCTTCAAGCACTATGCCAAGGGCCTCACGTCTAAATCAGCCTGCAGCATTTTTAATTGTGTGAATGAAATAAATAATCATTTGATCAGTGTTGTTTTCATTTCTGCAGTTCCAATGTTATATATCTTTAAAAACCTTTAGTATTTTAACAGTCTGATAGTATGCTATGACAGTGGTGGCTGAAAGTCTCAGTGGTGCTTTAAAAGTCTCAGAAATGTCACAAGGGGAGACCTCATCACAGAATAAGGGACTCTTATCCCGGGTAGGATTGGATCATACACAATGGAGAAAACTTGTTCAAGCTAAGCAGGCTTGGGACCGGTCAGTGCCTGGACAGGAAATCTCCCAGAAAATGTATATATGTCACCTTGAATAGTGGAAGATAGAAGTAAACAATCAACTACTACTGCTGTTATGACAATCCCAAGCCCCATCACGGCACACTAGCCATTAGCATTTCTAGCCCAAAGCCTGGGCCATTTCCCAGTGCTGGAAGGCCTTTGGCAAAATACCTTTCAGTGGGTTACCAGATCCTCTTCACTGTCCACCCAATTAATGATCCCTTCCACTAATTGTACAGCTACTGTCACCACCCACAACAAGAGGGGCAGTTGTCAGCCCTTTAAGTCTCGCCCACTAACTGCCATTCTCTTCTCCTGTTCCAAGTGATCAAGCTGCTGGGTAGGCAATGATAGCAGAGGGGGGGCACTGCCCATTGGAGAGGGAGGACATGGCTGCTGCTACTTCTCCCCCTGCCTACCTGATCATGAGGGATTTTGCTCACAACAATGGCAGAGGAGCCCTTCCTCCTGCTGTGCCATTCTCTGGAGCAGAACTGGGCCCCATAGTGTGACTGCAAGTCATGTCAGGGTACTCCCCATGTTGCCAGAGGCGCTGCTGTTACTCTCGGGTAGCCCCAATAGCAGGGACACCCCACTTCTAACATGACCCAGAAACCCACAAAACTCAGGCCAAGGAAGGCCCTCCTGGTTCTGAAACACAGAGCTAGCCACAGCTCTGAAAAAGGCATCTCCATTTTCAGGTTTCATAAGGCAACCTCAGAGCAAACTTCCAGTCTTTCCCCTCCACCCAGCAGAGATATCCTTATGGAATGGCAATGGGTTCCACTAAGTAAGTAAATTTATTACAGTCATTGACCAGTACACTGTAAAAGAAGTAAAACCCCAACACTAGGTAAAATATCTTACATTTCTAAAGGCTATTCAGAGGCCACCTGGCAAATAGTCCTCTTCTCTCCAGTACCTCACCCAGCCCTTTTGTGTGATCCCATGTCTATTTGTGAATTCTTTGTCCTTCGTTGCTGTGTCCCTCAGGATATTATTTGGGCAAGTTAGTAGAGAGGGCTGTGGCAACTCA